GGGGAGGGGGGAGGGAGAGGAGAACTTGAACCTTTGGCCTGAAGAAGACAAAGCTTTTACAAAGTAAGAAATACTATTAGACCAAAGACCCATCGGTAGAGTTGGGAAAGTTGCAACTACTGTCGAAGGGGGAAAGATTTGATAGAGCGGAGGCAACATTGAATCACTCTTAACATTGATAATTCTTGCAAAATAAGTGCTATGTTGGGCACATTTTCTTTGTTTTCATATAGAGCTTTGTTAATTTACACAGTGAAAATGCAGGTTAAAAATGTAGTCATAGATTTATTGAATCTGTTGTGTTTGTTGTGAGCTTTTACAAAATTTGGCACACTGAAACCTGTAATCTGTGGGGTGGTAAAGATACATATTTTTGGTTACTCATCAATGAAGTTTTTACCTTTCAAGAAGAAGTCAGACCTTGGGCTGTTATTCAACAGCCTATGAAATCCTACAGAGCACTAGTCATAATTTCTACTCTTGTAACACCTAGTAGCCTAGTAAAAAAAAAAATTGCAGTTTGGTTAGCTTAATTAGAAGAAAGTAGGATGAATTGTCCTCGGACCGCTTCGACTTTTTGGCGGTAAAGATATGTTTATCAAAAAAAATTACCACTGTACTTACCAAATCAATATACACCATTGGTTTTTTTGGTCATTACACCGTTGGTTCAATTTGTCCCATTAAAAAAAGTTTTTGGCATCCACTGACCAATGATCTAATAATTAATGGTGTTTGATAAATAATTTTTAAATCCCTTTTAAATAAGTGTAGCCTTACTCGATTTTTTGAAAACAACATGGCAATCTTTTGATATTTTCCTAAATTACATGGGAACCCTGGACTTTTTAAAGAGTTATATCAAGTAGATCCCTTCTATCACATGACACAAAAAAATATTGGAATAATTGCATTGGAGATTTCCAAAATATAGAATTTGTCTAATTTTGGTTCTCAATATTTTAATTTCATCATTTTGATCTCTGAAATATTAAATACTAGTAATTGCCCGTACCTAAAGGCATTATGAACAAGCAAAAATATCGCAGGCAATTTCCTATGCTCGAAGGCATTGCGTGACACAAAAAATTTCCAATAAAAATAATTGCAATGGAGTCGTGCCTGATTCAAATCCGATGTTAATTAAATACATTGCTATACATGGGTGGGTTCATTGCGATTTTGATCTCTAGCTTAACATAATAGAGAACAAAATAAATGCTACATAAGATTTAAAACAAAAAAAAGAGGGTGTGTTCTTACAAAAAGTGACTAAAATTTTAGAGATTGACAGCCAAGCTGACAGCTTAAACTTTGCGGGGCAGATTTTTCAAGCTAAACAACAGAAATTTTTCCGAACTAAACAACAAAAATTTAAGACACATTAGCTAGCAATGGACTCGTGCCTGAATGTACTCCGTAACACAAAAAATAAAAAACAATTAAAAAAAATAAAAATCCATTTGAAATTATATGATAAAATAATATTCAGTAAACTCTACAAAGAATGAAAATATAAGAAAATCATGTTACATGAATCTATTTTTTCAAGAAAAAATCAATCAATTGTTCCAAGAAAGTCAAACTAAAATGCTTTTATAAATGTAGGAATGGAGATTGTTGGAGTATAGATAGTCTAGGTTTATTAGGATTTCTTTTCCCTTTTTTACCCTTACTATGATTTTTATATTTTGCCTAAACTACAAGGATGTTTAAGTCACTCTGTATTATTTTTGGATATATATACGGGGTTCTACTCTTAATTTGAGTATCCCTTTTCATTCACAACTATCTCAAGTTGGTATCAGAGCCACCAACCCTAACCCTAACCCTAACCTCAAACGTCGCAACCAGCGAAAGACACTGCCACCACTCCACCGCTACCTACCATTGCAATCTTACCCAGCAACTCCATTAAACCTCAATCACCGTCAGAAGCACAACCAGCCTACACCATCATCCTGCAACTCCTCCAGCGAAAAACCAAGATCCCACCATCAAACCCATATCGGTCCACCATCAAAACCGACTGCCCATACACCATACACCATCAAACCCAGCCGAACAGAACCGAACGAACCTAAGACCCAAAGCCGATTGCAACCAACTCCAGCCGACAACTACTCCACGTTGTCGCCATTACCACAGGCCAAACCAGTGACATCTTTCCCAGCGAAACAGCCACGTCGACAAAACAGCCTGCAACTCCATATAAACCAGCAAACCAGCACCCCCTGCCACCGACTGACCGCAAAACCAAGACAAGCATCTCAGTACTTTCCAACATCAAAACCACCGACCAGCATCAATCCAGCCAGCAACAGCAAGCTCACAACAATTCTGCCAACATCCACACCTGCGAAACCAGCAACCACACTTGTGAAACCGACGACAACAAATACCCAGCTAGACATAACAATCCCACCGACATAACAAAAATACCCAGTAGCGAAACACCCAATCCCAAACCACCGACATAACAAATACCCAGCTAGACCAGCCCAGTAGCAAAACACCAAACTTTATCCGGCCCAACTTTACTCAGCTCATCCCCCACTGCCCAAACCCAGATCAGCCTTCGATTTTTGCCTTCGATTTTCACTCTGTCGTAGTGCCGCAGCATGGGACCTTTTAAGTGGGGATGAATCTTCTTCTCCATTGATCTGCTCTTGATGCAGTAGATCACTTATTTATATATTTTTGGATTTCTGGGCACCGTGACTTGATTATTTGGGAGTTTTTTGGACCTTCCCTATTTGTCGCTACTGTTCGACTGAAGGTATATTGTTCTCCCTTATTTTATTCCTCTATTTATCTTAGAGTTATTTTTCTGTCACGGGTGCCCTAGTATTGTTGTTGATATGGCTACTACTGAGGGACTTGAGAACCCTACTGTTGACACCTCTACCGTTGAGACATCTATGGGTACTTCCACTTTTATGTTTGACCAGTATACAGTGCCTACTAGCACAGTTGCATTACCAGCATTACCGGGCATGATCTCTCAAAAAGTTACGGCACAATTGTTGAATGGTCGTAACTTCGCTGAGTGGTCACGCTCATTCCAGCTTTTCTTAGGCCGTGTAGGGAAGCTTGGTTGGCTGACGGGATCTCACCCAAAGCCAGCTGATGCCGACCCTGGATATTCTGCATGGTTCTCTGAAAACTGTGCCATTCTTGGATGGTTATTTGGCTCAATGGAGCCCTCTGTTTGCAGGATCCACCAGTTTCATAGCTCTGTTCCGAAGCTATGGAGCGCATTATCAGAGATGTATTCTCAGTCAGGACGGGGAGTTCGTGTTTATGAGCTTTCTCAGGAGCTCTCATATGCTCGGCAGGGAGATATGACCGTTCAGGATTATTATGGCTATTTGACCCAGCGCTGGCTTGAGTATGAGTCTCTACGTCCTCTTGCTGCTATTCCGAAGATAGAGCCCGAGGGAGCAGCATTCTTGCATACTCGAGAGCAGGAGGATAGGATTCACAAGTTCCTTATGGGGCTTCGTGATGAGTTTGAGGGACCTCGTTCTCAGATCTTGTCGATGTTGACACTTCCTTCTCTTTATGAGGTGTATGGGATGATTGAGCAGCATGAGCGTCGAGTCCGTATTGCATCACTTCCAGTTGCAGCTTTGCCTCCTTCGATTGACCAGATGGCCCTTGCAGCTGCTGTAGGGTCCCGTTCAGGATCCTTAGTCAGGGATGGGCAACGCTCAGACCAGCGCCGTCAGGGCGCCCCAGATCAGCGCAGACGGGGGGATTCCCGTCAATGTGATTATTGTGGCCGACCAGGACATCTCAGGGCTAC